CCCTGCTTTCGCAGAGAGACTGAGATCCACGATCGTGATCATGGTCCTCCTCCCCCCCGAGAGCAGAGTCAGGAGCGAAAGGGTAACTAGGTAGCCTCCATCGCAGCTGGTCAATGTGCTGACACAGCATGCGACCATCTTCCAAGGCCACTTTGTATGACAGTGGCCCAGTGACTTTGCAAACCACTGCTGTCACCCAGAGATGTCCCCATCCATAGTTCCTTGTCCAAACCAGATTGCCCACCTGTAGTCTCCTAGTGCCCACAGCTGTGACACCTGTGAAGCCACCCGGTCTGGGTGCAATCTGTCCAGTTTGGTAATGAGATGGTGACCCCAACAGAGTTCAGCTAGGCTCTTGCCTGTAGCTGTGCAAGGTATGATGCAGTGGCAAAGGAGAAAATCAGCTAACCTGTAGTGCCACCTCCTGTGAGTGAGCCTCTTCAAGGCATCTTTGGTTGTGCGCACCATGCGCTCAGCTTGGCCGTTGAAAGCCGGATGAAAGGGTGTTGAAGTAGCATGATGAATCATGTTGGCTTGCAAGAAAGCCTGGAACTCTGAAGAGGTGAATTGTCGGAGACAAGTACATCTGGCAGCCCATGAGAGACGAAGATCCCTCTCAGCACCTGGATGGTCCTGGCAGTAGTCGTAGTGGACACTGGAATGACCTCTAGCCATTTACTGTCCACAACAATAAGGAAGAATTGCCCCTGAAAGAGGCCAGTGTAGTCGATATCAACCCTCGACCAAGGAGCATGTGTGTCCTCCCACTTGTGTACAAGAGCCTGTGGCATTTCAGGCCTAGACTGTTGGCAAACATGGTACCCCTGGACCTGGGTCTCAATCTCCTTATCAAGCCCAGGCCACCAGAGATAGCTGAGTGCAAGAGCCTTCATCCAGACTATGCCCGGATGGCCCTCATGCAGAGATTGCAAGACTCTAGTCCTCAATGAGGTTGGGATCACTACCCTGCTACCCCACAGGACACAACTCTTAAAAGTGGATAGCTCATGCTTCCTTTTCTAGAAACTCTGGAAATTAGTGCCAGGACATGTGTCAGGCCATCCTGACAGCACCCAGTTCAACACACGTGTTAGCGTGTGATCAGTGGCTGTTTTTGCAGCCACATCCCCTGCATTGATGGGAGACTCAGGCAAATCCTGGATAGCCAGGATGTGGTTACCTGGAGCAGGATCAGATTCTACAAGCTGTAGAGGTAACCTACTAAGGCCATCTGCATGGCCCATTTCTTTGCCTGGTTTGTGAACCAGGGAGTAGTCATATGCAGAAAGGAAAATTGACCACCTCAGCATTCTAGGAGAAATTATGTGTGGGGTTTGCTTGTTTGTTGTGAACAACCCCAGCAATGGCTTATGGTCTGTAAAGACCGTGAAATGGTGACCATACAAAAAGTCATGGAACCTTTTTATGTCAGCCACTATGGCCAAGGCTTCTCTGTCTATCTGTGGGTAATTACACTCCACAGAAGTCAGAGTCCTTGAATAGTATGCTACAGGAACTTGTGTTCCATCAGCCTTGATCCCATAAGGGGATCCATCGCAGGCTATACACACTAGCAGCTGCTCATTGAAATGAGCGAGAACAGCATTTGAAGACAACAATGCCTTGACCTCAGCAAAACTCCTTTTGTGGACTTTTGTCCACTTACATGGAGCCTGTTTGTCCAAGAGCCGGTGTAATGGCTCTGCCACTGCAGCTTTGTGGGGGAGGAAGAAATGATAAAAATTTAGAAGCCCAAGGAAGGCTTGAAGCTCGCTCTTCAACTTGGAGCCTGCTGAATCCTTTGAGCTTAGATTCAGCAGGATGGATGCCTTCGGCATCTATGCGAAACCCCAGGAATTCAGTGGAAGTTACTCCAATTTTGCATTTTTCCTGCTTGAGCTTCAGCAGCAAAATGGACCAAAGCCTTTCAGCCAGGTTTTCGAGTGATTCCCCAGCGATGAGGACACATCGAAGTAAAGACAAACTCCCTGAATGTTACGGAGCATTCACTTCATCGCGCTTTGAAAAATGCCAGGGTCTATGTTAACCCCGAACTGCAGTCTTCTGACTTTGAAAGCTCCCCAGTGCCTTACGATCATCTGGGCCTCCGTCATTGCATCATCAACCGGTAGCTGTTGATAGGCCTGAGCCAAATTAAGTTTGTCGAAAATTCGGCCTCCTTTAAGTGAGGCCAAAATGTGGCTCACCACAGGCACCGGATAAGAGTGCTGCTGTAACGCTTTGTTTAGCATGCATTTATAGTCAGCACAAATGCGGACTTCCCCATTGGCCTTGAGTGGGGTGACTATGGGTGTTTCCCATGGACTGCTATCCACAGGTTCCAAAATACCTTGCTGTAGCAGTTTATCCAGCTCGGCATTAATCTTTTGCTTAAGCGCAAAAGACACCCAACAAGGCTTAATCCTAATCGGTGCAATGGAGGGATCTAACCGCAAAGCAATTGGAGGCCCCTTGTATGATCCTAGTTCTGGGCTGAACACATCAGCAAACTCCTTGCAAACTTCTGCAAGGTTGGCTGTTTGCACGCTGTGTAGCCCAGTCACGAATCCCAAGTGCCTCGAACCAATCGAGTCCGATTAGACTCGTGCGGCCACCCTCAACCACGACGATGTCTAGAAACCCCTTGAAATGCTTATGCTGCACTCTGAGCATGGCCTCCCCTCTCACACTGACTCAGGAATTCTGGAAGTCAGTTAAAATAAGATCCGATGGCCTGAGTTTAATTCTCTGGCCACTCCTTTAGCAGATCTGCTTGAGGGTTTTCTGGGAAATGATTGACAGAGCTGAACCCATGTCCAGCTCCCTGCAATTTGACATCAAGACACAGCTTCTTTTTTAATGGCCAGTGAGCCCCTGTTCTCAAAACGCTCCTGCGGGACGTGCAGAAGCCCACCCTATTTTGACTAGGGACCCTGATACCTTTCTGAGGCAACTCTTCCGATGGATGGTCTTTCTTGCGACCCAAACAGATGGCTATGTGGCCTTGCCGGCCACACACCCAGCAAGTAGCAGAGCGAAAACGGCAGTTGGAGTGCTTGTGGCATTCTCCACATCCAAAACACCGAGGGAATATAACTGCCTTGTCAGACCCCTTGTCAGCTCGCTCTTGGGGCCTTCTCTTTGCTGGCTGCTGCAGACGGTCGGCCTCATTTTCGGAACCAGTTCAGATACCTCTTGAGCAACCTCTTGATGGATGGAGCCCAAACTTGTAGGGTTCTTGGAAAGCTGCAAGGCCTTAACAACTCCCGCTGCTTCGTCAGCCGTGATCTCCCTTAGCGCATCTTGGAAGGAAACGTCTTCCTTCGCAAAAATCTTTTGTTGCAGCTCTCGACTCCTCAAGCCAAAAACTAGCTGATCACGCAGCCATTCTTCTAAATCCTTGAATTTACAGGGCCTTGCAGCTTGCCGTAGAGCAGCAATAAAGTCCACAGCAGACTCTCTTGGATGTTGGGCCTGCTGCTCAAATGCATGACGCCATGCAATCACCAAAAGGTTTGGTTCAAAATGCTCTCTTAACATTTTCTTAAGTTCAGCATAAGCGATGGATTCCAACAGTGCTGTGGCGAGCAGATTCTCAGCAATATCAAATGTCTCTTGCCCACAGACACAAAGTAACGTTACGGCTTTGAGTCCATCCTCCTGAACTTGGTTTACCTGAAAATAGTTTTCTACCTGGGCAATGTATGAACTCCAACGTTCAGGGTGCACTGTATCGAATTTGGACAGACGCCCAATCTTAACCATTGCTCCTCCTTGGTGACCTCATCAACACCTTGTGCTGCTCCGGCTTGTGAAGGGGTTCCAGAACGAATCTTGCCGAACTCTCCTCCAGCATTTTCATACTGACAGGCAGAATCACACAAGTCGAACTTCCCAGCCCTTCGGCTTCCGTGGTCAGCCTACTTTTCTCTGCAGCACGATCCCACCTTCGTCGCCAATGTTCTGTTCTGTGTGTTGGTAAGGCATTGAGATGAGGCAGGAGTAATAACAGTTGTTACTTTATTAAGCTTCAACAGAACCTCAACAGAACCACCAACAAGATGGCGCGGATCTCTTTTATACCCTTTTGCAGGGACAGTGTCAGCCAATAAATGCAATGTATTTTTCCTGCTTTGCACGTACGCAATAGGCTGGAGACAGCCTGTCTGGCCTGGGCAGCCATGTGGTCTGCCTGGGTCTCTCTGCAGCTTCCTGCACCTGCTCTGTTAATCACAGGCCCGGGACATAACAACTATGGTGGCTTTTTCACAAATTCTGTGAGTCTTTTCACTATGGAAAAGTAACTGGGAGTCAGCTTACCCAGTCAGTGTGCTCCCAATTACTTTTCCATAGGAACCTCTAAACATAAGTGGAAAAAATACTAAATCATATTATGATTTGGTGTAATGCCTAGTTTTTGTGTCAGGTTAAGATAAAGACTGTGATCACTAAACATACTGAACTATACTTACCCTGCCCCTTGCAGTAAAGCTTGGCATACCATATAATAGCAGCCAATAAATGACTGATATGAGGGTTAGCATTTGGTCTTGTGGCATATAATGAGATTTAATGCAGAAAACATGGCTGCTTCTTATGCTGAGTATCAACTAGTAAAAGTTAAAATGGAGCACTAATTTCAAAAGTTAGCCTGAATCAGATTATGTAGACCTCTGCCTACATAATTGCATTATAATGTGGTCCTAAAATACAAGACATAAAAGCCATATTTCTATAAGTACTTGGGTGGGATTTCAAATGGTTGTAATCGGGTGCAGAGCATGAGTGATATTTAGAATGACCAATTTCAAGAGAAAAGCCATTCTTTAAGAAAATACATAAATGAATGACCCAAGAGAACTGGAAGTCAGTGTGAGCATCCATGTATAGATAACTAAATAACTAGATAACTAAAACTAAACTAAACTAAACTAAAACTAAACATAGGGTTCCATCTTATCTTTGATGTTATTGACCTAAGATCTCTTTTTTCTTTTCAGATGGAATCTCGGAAACGCCTCGCCAAAACAGTACTAGTTTTTGTCTGTATCTTTGCTTTCTGTTGGCTCCCTAACCACATCATCTACTTATATCGGTCGTATCATTATTCAGAGGTGGATACATCAGTCCTGCACTTTATCACTTCTCTTTGTGCTCGAATATTGGCATTTATTAACTCTTGCATAAATCCTTTTGCCTTGTACTTGCTCAGCAAAAGTTTTCGGAAACAGTTTAATCACCAGTTATCTTGTTATAAAACCCGTCTTCTCATTCGATCCCAGAGTACAGCCAGAAGTACCACCCAGATGACATCTTTCAAGAGCACCAACCAGCAGTCCATGATCACCTTCAGTTTTATTAATGGCAACCACAACTGCCATGAAGAAAATGTACAGTATGCATGAAATTAATACTTACTGCAAGTGTTTACTAGCCATTGTTGCCTATTTGTATGTAGTCAGCAACAAATGTACATATGTACATAAAGAAATAGGTCAGTGACCAGACCATGAACTAGGCAGTGTACAAGAAAAAAAATTAATGCAGACTTAAACGGCTGTCGATACCTGCTTTTTGTTTTTATGATTTTGTATTATGCTGGTCCATTTTCATTCACATTTTGATGCTTTGTAGATGTGAAGGGACTGCAACATCTGGCATTCCCACACAAGCCAGGAATTCTGAGAGTTCAAATCAAACATATTTGGAGGGCCCCTGTTAGAGAAAGGGTGGTCTAGCATAGTGTTTCACAACTTTGGCCCCTTGAAGATGTGTGGACTTCAACTCCTAGAATTCTGCAGCCAGCATGACTGGCTGGGAATTCTGGAGGCTGAAATCTACACAACTTGAAGGGTCCAAGATTGGGAAACACCTCTCTAAACCCAAACAAAGGCAGGGGGCTTAATGAAAGAAAATAATTTCAGAGAAACTATTTTTGATATAGGAAGCTTTGGACTTTATTGCTGAGATGAGCCTGTCCCTCACTGGGTTTTCTGTGATGTACAAAAAACAAGCACAGGATTCAGTGCAAACCCAGCTTTTTAGTCCCTTCTGAACTGTTCTTCTTAGCTTTCCCACTCCTAGTACATCACTGGTATTTAAATTCTCTTTTTTAAAGTGGAAAGTCAGTGGGAGCTTCAGGACAATCTGAAGAACTCTAAAGGCCAAGCAGAGCAATGCCAAGCACTTGCATTCAGATAACAGATAAATGCAGTGCATTTTTTGTAAAAAAAAAAAAAAAGGTGCCAGAACTCACACATGTCATACAAACACCTTGCCTACCCTACAAGGTTTCATCCAAAAAGGGTGCTGGAACTCTGTTCTGGGCATTCTATGACAAAAAAAGCCCTGGATAAATGTGTACAGCATGAGATTGTTCTTCTCCCTTGGGCTGATATCTTACAGAATCTCTACTTCTCCATTTGTCCACATTCAAGCTTAAGAACATGCATTCATAGTTCTTCACTTTCTATATTAAAGAAAAGTAAGCTAGTTTGCTAAAGGAAAAGCACCATTCTCTTCAAAAGAAACATGTTGAAACCTCTTTAGAGTCATGTAACTAAGTGGAAGAGCTTTATTATTATTATTTAGTTTTCAATTCAGTTCAGTCTGGGAAGGACCTAAGGACTGTTAAGGTAATGTCTGAGTAGATAGGCAGTTCTGAGTAGGGTGGTTTTTTGCAAAGTCAAAATATTCAGATCTAATAAGTTCAAAATTTATGTATCTAGACAGCCCTGTGGATATTTGTCCAAGGACTCCTATTACTATTACAATCATTGATTTCTTCCTCTACAATCGCTCGACTTCAATTTGCAATTCACAATATTTCATTTTTTCCTGTTCAGTTTGTGCATCAACTGCTTTGCAATATCAATGAACCAGACTTTTTTTCTTTTTGACAATAGTGATGTCAAGCATGTTGGGGCCAGATGTCTATCTATTTGGATCTGAAAGTTCCACAGGATCTTGACCTGTTCGTTTTCAAGAACTTTGTCAACTTGGTGTTTCCAGTGACTTTTCAGGCAGTATTAATTCATGGTGTTTTTAAAAAAAGGTGTAAAGAGAATTGAATTTACTTGGGTTTGTCTCACTACCTTTCCCCCATCTGAATGCAAAAGTATATTGCATATAATTTGAATGTGAAAAGGGGTGCCAATTCAATAAATGGAAGCTTCATTATGTTTACAAGTGTATGCATTTTATCATATGTGGGATGGAGTGTGGGGAGAATAAAGCACTGATTTCTCCAAATGTCATAAAGTTTTTATAAAAATGTCATTAGCCCATGCATCAATGGTATCCAGATAAGTCATATTGTTCTGTATATATGTTTCTTTATGGTGAACAAATGTAAAAGAAATCTCCATGTCTTCCTTACATTTTCAAAAATAGACTATAGTAATCATGTGACTACTGCTAAAATCTCTACCATTTTTCTTCATTGCAGCATTATACTTCCAGATGATATAAGTAATATAGTTGCAATGTTTTGATATTAATAGACTCAAAACAAATAGAAATTCCAGATTTTGCAATGACAAAAACATTTTCAACATCTGGCATGTATTTTAACCAAAAAGGATGAAACAGGATGGAGAATAGCTAGCCTAGAGCTCGTCTTGTTCTCAGTTTGATTCCCCAGAGGCAGATTAGTCATGGGAAAAGTATTGACAAGACTTTCAAAAATAGTTACTGTTCTGTTCGCAAATCCAAGGCATTTAGACAAAGCGAGTAACACAAAAGCAAGTCTTCTTTATTGCAAGTCAGCAACAGAACAGTAAATAAAATGATGCACAGGCATTTTATAGTCTCCTTGCAAGGACAGCGTCAACCAATCAATGCAAGGCTGGTTTCGCGCCTTGCGCATGTGCACAAGGCTGGCAACAGCCTGTCTGGTCCCAGGCAACCATGTGGTCTGCCCGGGACTCTCTGCAGCCTTCCTGAGCCTGCTGAGCAATTCAGCAGGCCCAGGACATAACACCCTTCCCCCCAGGATAAAACAATAAGTAACCCTTACTGTTATAGCAGCAAACATATACATGTGTTCTATTGGCATTTGTTATTGTTAAACACATTATGCCTGCACACAGGCAGACCCAATCTTGCATTTTATATGTACAAGAATACAGCAAAAAGTTTAATACACTGAAATATAACACCCCTTCATTTGAGTGTTTGTTTTGCATTTTAAAGAACTAGCAAGATTCCCTCAGGCTTGACAGAAACCTCACATAGCCCTTAAGATGTTTGGGTGGACCCTTGGCCCACTGTGACCTTCTTATGGCCGGTGTGTGTGCCTGGCCTGCCAGCTCACCTGCCAGGCTAGGCAGACCAGGACTTTGTTGCCCCAAGGACCCAGGTGACCCACCCAGTGCTGACTGGCTGGATCCGCTAAATCCAAGCCAGAGTTCCTTGGTGGGGTGGAATTCCCCAGGTCCGGTGGTGGGGTGGAATTCCCCAAGTCCACAATGGACCCCTCTTGGAAGCATTGTCCCTCGAGCCCAAGACCAGCAGCTGGAGTGGCCTGAATAGCCAATTTACCCCAATGTCCCATTGCCCCAGTGTCTGTGCTGCAGGTGCCATGGCAACCTCCCCTTCTGGAGCAATAGCTGAAGCCTGTGAATGTCCACTTGGCCAGGCAAACCCCCCTTCTGGAGCAATAGATGAAGTGCTTGGCCAGAGAGACTGTGGTCCACAATTGTAATTGTGGTCCTCCTCTCCCCCCCGAGAGCAGAGCCAGGAGCGGAAGTGTTGCTGGGAAGTCTCCAGCGCAGTTGGTCAATGTGACATCGTTTCACAAGACCATCATCCAAGGCCACTTCATATGACAGCGGCTCAGGGACCTTGCATACCACTGCTGTGACCCAGAGATGTCCAGGTCCATAGTTCCTTGTCCAGACCAGATCGCCCACCTGTACTCTCCTAGGTGCCCACAGCTGTGAAGCCACCCAGTCTGGGTGCAACCTGTCCAGTTTAGTGATGAGGTGGCGACCCCAGCAGAGTTCTGTTGGGCCCCGTGGCTGTGCAAAGTGTGGTGCATTGTGAAAGTAGGAAATCAGCTAACCTGTGATGCCAGCTCCATATGTGATTCTTTTTTTTTTTTTTTTTTTTTTTTTATTAAAAGTTTTATAAATTTTACAAGAAAAACAAGAACAATACAAAACAAAAAACAACATATTTAAACAATACATATAAAAAAAAAACCCCACCCCACACCCCTCCCAAAAACCCTCCCTTCCCCCCCCCTGAGCTTCCCAGAGCAGAATATAGGCTTAAGCAATAAAAAAAAATAAAAATTAAATTAAAAACCTATAATATATATAAAAATAAAACTTATGAAAAAGCTATCTGATATTTTTGTATACCCAATCTAAATTGTATAAATTTTATCCATTTGTCCCAGATAGCAAAAAACTTCTCTTGCGTTGTTGCTTTAAGAAAGCCGAAATCTTTGCCATTTCCGCCAGATAAGCTAAAAAAAACCATTCCTGCAATGTAGGCAAAGATTCCTTCTTCCAATATTGTCCAACTAACAGCCTCGCGGCTGTGATCAAATTTAACATCAATACAACCTCCTTTGTATCACAATCTGTAACAATACCTAACAAAAATAATTGCGGAGTAAATTTTACCCTCCTTCTAAAAATTCTCTGGATATTCCACCAGCTTGCATGACCACCAAATATGATAGAAGCCTCCTTATAACCACATCTCCAACATTTGGGTTGCACGTCAGAACACATTTTTTGTGGATCAAGGTGCCATCTATAAAACATTTTATAAAAATTCTCCCTTAAGTTCTGTGCTTGAGTAAATTTGACATTTCTCAAAAATAGTTTCCCAGGTGTCCAATGAAACTGGCTCACCAAAGTTCTGCGCCCATCTAATCATACAATCTTTAATTAGTTCCGTTTCTGAGTCCAATTCAACTAAAACCCCATAAATTCTCTTAATGTGGGTTTGTCTTTGATCCTTCAGTTGCTTAATAAGATTTTCATCTTCTCTAAGGAAACCCACCTTACAATCCATCTTCCATCTATCCATATGTGATTCTTTTAAGAGCATCTTTGGTAGTGCGCACCATCCTCTCTGCCTGGCCGTTGGAAGATGGATGAAATGATGCTGAAGTAGAGTGCCGGATCAAGTTGGCCTGTAGAAAAGACTGAAACTCAAAAGAAGTAAATTGGGGGTCATTATCTGAGACCAGGACATCTGGAAGTCCATGAGAAGCAAAGATTCCTCTCAATACCTGGATGGTCCTAGCAGTAGTAGTGGAGGAGGCACAACTTCTAGCTACTTGGGATGGCTGTCAAAGAGGAGAAGGAAGAATTGCCCCTGAAAGGGTCCAGCGTAGTCAATATGCACCCTCAATCAAGGGGAAAGTGTCTCCTCCCACCGATGTACAGGGGCCTGAGGCATTTCAGGCTGGACTGTTGGCACATTTGGCACCCTTTGATCTCTTTATCGAGCCCAGGCCACCAGAGATGGCTACACGCAAGCGCTTTCATCCGGACTATGCCTGGATGTCCCTCATGCAGAGAGAGCAAGACTCTAGTCCTCAATGAGGCTGGGATGACTACCCTGCTACCCCATAAAAGGCACCCTTTGAAAGTGGAAAGCTCATGCTTCCTTTGCCAGAAGCTTTGAAACTCAGTACCTGGACATGTGTCAGGCCATCCTGACAACGCCCATGTCAGCACACGTGTGATCGTGTGATCAGTGGCAGTTTCTGCAGCATTGAGAGGAGATTCAGGCAATTCCTGAATGGAGAGAATGTGAAGAGCAGGAGTAGGATCTGCCTCTATCTGTTGTAGAGGTAATCTGCTGAGACCATCTGCATGGCCCATTTCTTTGCCAGGTTTGTGCACCAAAGTGTAGTCATATGCTGACAGGAAAATTGACCATCTCAGCATTCTAGGAGAGATTATGTGTGGGGTTTATTTATTTGTGGTAAACAAACCCAGCAGAGGCTTATGGTCTGTGTAGACTATAAAATGGCGGCCATATAAGAAATCATGAAATTTCTTTATGCCAGCCACTATGGCCAATGCTTCTCTGTCAATCTATGCGTAATTACATTCTGCAGATGACAGAGTCCTTGAATAGTAGGCCACAGGGACTTGTGTCCCATCAGCCTTCAGATGACTAAGCACAGCCCCAACCCCATAAGGGGACGCATCACATGTGATTCCCACAGGCAATTGCTCATTGAAATGCGCTAAAACTGCATTTGAAGAGAGCAAAGCCTTGACCTCTGTAAAGCTCCTTTCATTGACCTTAGTCCACTGCCAAGGAGCCTGTTTGTCCAAGAGCCAGTGTAATGGCTCGGCCACTGCAGCCTTGTGAAGAAGGAATGTATGATAAAAGTTTAAGAGTCCCAGAAAAGCCTGAAGTTCGCTTTTGGACTTGGGAGTTGGGGCCTGCTGAATTGCTTGAAGCTTGGATTCAGCAGGATGGATGCCTTCAGCATCAATATGGAACCCCAGAAATTCAATGGAGGTGACTCCAATCTTACATTTATCTTGTTTCAGCTTCAGCCCCGCTTGGCGGAAACTCAGCAAGACAGCTTTCAGCCTTTCAGCTAAATTTACAGATGACTCCCCAGCAATGAGGACATCATCGAAGTAGGGGCAGACCCAAGGAATACCATGGAGCTTTCACTCCATTACACTTTGGAAGATGCCAGGGGCCATGTTAACCCCAAACTGCAGTCTTTTCACTTTAAAGGTGCGTCACAATTGTTTGAGCCTCAGCTGTTGCCTCATCAACAGGTAACTGTTGGTAGGCCTGTGCCAAATCAAGCTTTGCAAAGAGGCGCCCCCCCCCTTGAGGGAGGCCAGAATGTGGCTAAGCACAGACACTGATATACATGGTGTTGCAGCACTTTGTTAAGTTTACATTTATAGTCCACACAGATTTGGACTTCTCCATTGGCCTTCACTGGTGTTACTATGGGGGTTTCCCATGGACTACAGTCCACAGGTTCTAAGATGCCCTGCTGGAGCAGCTTGTCCAGCTCTGCATCAATTTTGCCTTTGAGGGCAAAAGGCACCCTTCTAGGTTTGATCGGATGGGTGTGATAGCTGGGTCTAAGCGTAAGGCGATGGGAGGCCCCTTGTATGATCCAAGCTCTGAACTGAACACATCAGCAAACTCCTTACAGACTTCTGCAAGGCCTGATGTTTGCA